AAAAAAAAAAAGAGAGAGAGAGAGAGAAAGAAGAGGAGACCGGTCCAGGGATTAAGGATAGACTTTAGGCTCGGCACCTGTGGCGCAAGTGACTAAGGCTCCAGCCACATACACCTAAGGTGGCGGGTTCGAATCCAACCCGGGCCTGCCAAACAACAATGATGGCTGCAACCAAAAAACAGCCAGACATTGTGGCGGGCACCTGTGGTCCCAGCTCCTTGGGAAGCGGTGGCAGGAGACTCGCTTGAGCCCAGGCGTTGGAGGTTGCTGTGAGCTATGATACCACAGCACTCTACCCAGGGGGACAGCTTGAGGCTCTGTCTCAAAAAAAAAAGGGATAGACTTTATTTTAAAGAAGCAGAGTAGAGTCTGACCAGGTGTCAACTCCCCATGCACAGTTTCAAGGGACTTTTATTAGTGTAATTAGAATGCAGGAGGAGTCATGAGAGGTGAGAGAAGTCAGCTTTTTCCTGCAGAGTGAATGATGCTGTGTCTGAGACTGATTTTAGAATTACTGCCTTCCACAAAAGGTGTTAATCTTGCACCAAGGCTTTATCTCTAGTGCCAGCCTGGACCGGGGTAGGAGATCCTGATGTTTCCCAGGAACACTAGTCTTGAAGCATTCCAGGATGGTGAGAAGGGGGTTGCTATGGTCATGCCATTTGCTCTCTGACCTGCTTTCTATCGTTAGCTGTCCTCCCAGGATAGTTATGCTCTCCTTAGGGTCATAAGGATTTACAGGGGTGTGGGGAGGGGTTGCTGTCATCATGCAGTTTGGTTTAAGTCCTGCTTTCTTCTGCTTTCTTTCACTACCTGTCTCCCAAATGGCTGTACTCTTGTCAGGATCCTGAGGATTTCTTCCCCATGCTAAGGACCCTGAGAAGGACGGGGTCAGACAGAGAACAGGGCTAAGTTTGGGCAAGAGTAGCCAGCTTTGGACATACCCCTTCCTCCAGGCAGGAGGCCTGAGAGCTCTGGGGGATGACAGCACTTAGGGACAGTGGCTCTGCCAGGGCCCTGAGGTCCAACTCCCCAGGCCTGGGCACAAAGGTGCACCTGGTGATGAAGCCTGGGACTTGCAGCCTGCTGTGCTGGTCCCAGTGTGGCCTAGTCAGGGAGTTGGGGCTCTATGGGGTTGGGCACCTGAGCAGCCCCTCGGGTCAGGAACACAAATAGAGTGGGGGCCATGGCCCCCCAATTCCCAAGGACCCTGGCTCTACAAAGCAGCTTTGCAGCCTTATTGGACTGGTGTGGTGCTCAAGGTGGTGCCTTGCCCAGGGGAGAGGAGGACACAGCAATGACCAGAAGTGTAGTCACCCAGGTTTGCCAGTCAGCTGATTCTCACTCACCTATGCACCTGAGGAGCCTAGCTCTGAGGCAGGCAGCAAATAAGAGAACCCCATCCCCCCTGCAGTTTGGGGCCTAGCCTCTCAGGAAGGCTGCGTGAGGTCAGTAGTGATCCCCTACCCCCACAGAGGTCCTAGAGGAACAGAGGACCCTACCCCGACTCAGGGAGGTGCTTCTGGCCTTGGCTAGAATCCTCCAAAAAGCAGTTCCATAGGCTCCTGGCACATCATATCCGGAGGGAACCAGGCTGCTCCCTGGTTACTCAGGATGGACACAGATGCCTCAAGCCACGTCCCATATACTCCTTCCCTTAGTCGCTGCTCCAACCTGAACCTCAGTTTCCTCTTCTATAAAATGGGGACAACCACCCATGTCTTCCAGGTTATGTCACTTGCATGCTTTTTTGGGTCAAAGGATGCAAGCTCTTAATAAGCACCTGTTCCCTTGCCCTCGTCACTGAGGTACTAGGGAGGTGTCCCTTGGCAGTGAGCCTCAACCAACCAGTTTAGGTGTGCCTGGAAGTGGCTGGGGCATGAGACTGCCTTGAGGCCAAAGGGCTGGGGGATGAGACCCCTGCGGGCCAGTTGGGAAAAGGTTCAGGCTGGGGCAGGAATCTGAGGTCATCTCCCCAGTGCAGGCTCTCTCCTTCCTAGAGCTGCCCTCCTGGGTGTGGCAGGGCCTAATTAGTGTTTACAGAACCAGAAGATAGGCTCTCACAGCCCCGGGAGCTGAGGCCCTCTCTATGGGTAGCTCCTTGGATGGGCAGTGGGTAGAGCAGCACGTCTGGGCCACAAGGCCACAGTGTTACCTCAGTGAATTGGGATATAAGCAATTTTGAGAGGCCCGCTAAGAAAAAGAATAGCATAATTGACTCTCATACATTTTACAAATACAGATGCCAAGAAAATGTAAAACATGTTAAGTAATGAAAAAACTGTAACAAAATCGTGATACTGGTTGGGTGCAATGGCTCACATCTCTAATCCTCGCACTCTGGGAGACCAAGGCAGGTGGATTGCCTGAGCTCCCAGGTTCGAAACCAGCCTGAGCAAGAGTGAGACCCTGTCTCTAAAAATATCTGGGCATTGTGGCGGGTGCCTATAGTCCCAGCTACTTGGGAAGCTGAGATAAGACAATTGCTTGAGCCCAAGAGTTTGAGATTGCTGTGAGCTATGAGCCATGGCATTCTACGGAGGGAAAAAAAAAAAAATCATGATACTTGGGCTGGGCATAGTGGCTCATGCCTATAATCCTAGCACTCTGGGAAGCTAAGACAGGTAGATTACTTGAGCTCAGGAGTTTCAGACCAGCCTGAGCAAGAGTGAGACCCTGTCTCTACTAAAACTAGAAAAACTAGCTGGGTATGTGTTGTAGTGGGTGCCTGTAGTCCCAGTGAGTAGGGAGGCTGAGGCAGAAGGACTGCTTGAACCCAAGAGTTTGAAGTTTCTGTGAGCTATGATGATACCATGGCACTCCACCCAGGGCAACAGAGTGAGACTCTGTCTCAAAAAAAAATTTTTTTTGATACTAAAGTCATGTTTGACTTCTGCAATTAAGAAGTCAAATAAAGGTGCTCAAATGTGACTTGTATCCATCCTTTGTTATCTGTATATATTATTACAATTTTAATAGTTTTTTCTTTCTCAAGATGTGTATACATTTTTCTGGCACCCTCTGTATATATGTATGATCCTGTGGACTCAGAAAGGGCCATGACATTGGGGAGTTCTGGAATTCAAGCAGGTCCAGAAAACCCTGCCTTCTTGTTACAGTCAGATTCCAGAGTATTCCACCCAGGGCATCAGGCCAGCACCGCAGGACATGAGGGAACAGCTGGTAGAGCTGGGGGAAATTGGGCTAAGGGCCCTCTGGACCTGTTAAAGCCCCTTTTCTGTTTCCCCTTAGGCTGTGTGTCCCCCCACCCCCACAGGGATCCTCTCTGTACCTGTTCCCCTCACAGATATCACCCATCAGTTGTGGGATGGCTTCCAGACCCCACTCTGGGGTACTCTTCATAGTTCCCCTGTCTCAGGTGCTCACCAGCTCCAGACAGACCCTTGTCAGGGCTTGGCCCCTCAGCAAGACTCTGGCCCTGGTGTCCATTACAGAGCCTGGTCCTCCACATCCTCTGGGAACAGCCACCCTTTTACCCTTTTTGGGCTACTGTTGCCCCCTCCATACTGTCCCCTGCCCTGAGACTGTCCCCTTTTTTAACACACTGCCTTGCAGCGAGCACCATGGTTTCAATGACCACACATCATACCCCCTCATCTCCTGGGCAGGGCTGGGTCCCGACACAGATCCCGAATACCTGATGGGGACAAGGTGAGAGGCCAAGATGGGTCCCAAGCCCTGGCATGCTGGCCCAAGTCCAGTCCCACTCAGCCTTCCAAATCAAACTCCCCAACAAGCTGGTCCTTCCAGACCAGCTCCCCAACCTCCCAGCCCAGCCCATGTACCCCAGCAGGCCGACCTCTGAGGGGTGGACAATTTCTAGCCAAAGAACCTGGGATAACCCAAGTCCTTCATAACCACAGATGGATTCTGGTCTGAGGGCTGTGCCCAGGTGAGTCCAGTAGGGAGCATCTTAATCAACGTGGATGAGGCTGAAGATGACTCAGGAAGACAGGCCCCGGGATACACCCTGTACCATCTCATCTTTGAGAGGCTCACTCCACACTGGGCCCCAAGAGAGCCACCCCTGGGCAAAGGTACCCAAGTCAGCATATCCTAAGTCAAAGGGTCAAGTCCAGCCTCTCCTGACTCAGGGAGAATCTGGCTTTGAGGGGACCAGATTAATTCTACAA